ACCAAGTCACAATGGAACCGTGACCACTCACGCTGGGCTAAACATGGATGGGTTCTCTTATGAGGCCTCAATGAACAAGATGGAAAGCGCCAATGTGTAAACAAGAAACAGCTCCTACATTCAGAATATCAATCCAGTTAATTGGTGCGGGGCTTCGGTTCATACCAGTTTCAAATGCCAACTTTCCAAACTAACAACATGAAGTGTCTGGCTGGCAGTGGCGCACATCAGCAAAACACGGCGTTCGCTCCAGACTCCACACCACAAGCTCTTAGAAAACCAGGGGAGGAGAACTTGCAAGTCTGCATGCTGCCAGCAACGAGGCAAGCTCTGTGTATATAACTATAATTAAATTATTTACATAGGGGAGCAACATTTTTCTTAATTTTCATGCCTCTCAGGCAAGTAAATGAAAGTCGAATTCTCATGGAAAGTATTTTACCTTCTGGAAGACATAACGGCCTTTATGACAGAATTTTAAAGTGAAAATCCTCTGGAAGTCCAGGTTGAACAAGTAGCTTATAACTCAACAGCATTGGGCATCTTGATGTAAACTACAAATTAGCTTCTAATCTTGTAAAATAAAATCTTCAAAGTTTTTACACTGTCACATCATTTTTTTAAAAAGTTTAATTCACTGAAATTTAAACAGGTTATTTAAAAAATATACAGTGTTTAATTCTGATGGTTTTTTCTGCACTTTAGAAAACTACTATTTCCAAGCTACCCCTCTAATATTTGGACTTTTTATTTGTATTTAATAATATAATAGTTATTTCCAACTCTAAAAAAAAAAGTGGATTGTATTTTATATGTATAAACACTCCCCACCCACCCATTAATGAAATCAATCTGCCAAGGTCTATTACAACTTATGCAATTTTGTTGTTTATACATGGTTCTCAAAAGAAAAAAAAATACTACTTAAATTCTAAAGTTTTTCTTTCATCTCTTCTCCACCAAAGTATTGATTCCTACTTGCTCCTTTATAACAGAACAGCTCATCTGTAATTTTCACAATTAAATGTGTAGCCAGCATGTGCATATCATATTAAATATATCAACCACCAGATTGCTGAATATTTAAAATTTCAAAACATTAATTATTTTTAACGTTTTTCAAAATTTGTAAGTAGTGACAAGGAAAGCAACAATTTAACACACAATGTACCTTATATAATTACACCTTTAGTAATCAAATATAAATAATAAATGTATGCAAGCATGTTATAATGAAAATCAGAAGTCACTTTTGCATGATAAAAGCTTATCAGCTGGTTATTTGGAAGCAAGTACATGTTCAGGAAAGGCTGGTTCTGATCAGAGAAATCTTTAAGGTTTTAGAAGCTTAGCAACTCTTGAGATTGGGTCATCAAAATAGTAATTAAGTAATTGATCTTAATCTGTTCAACACGGTGACATTTTATTTTTGATATAAACAGTATTATAACTTTTCCTACACTCTGGTTGAAGGAAAAAAGAGAAATTCCAGCAAAACAAATTCACAGTGATTATGTTTAAAGCCAACAGCTGACTTCCAGCACAGGCAGGGCCGGGGCCTTTAGAGAGTCACAGCCAATCTCCTTTATCTTCTATACAGATATTATAAGAACTAAAACCAAAGATTTAGTTAGGTCAATGTACAGCAGCCTCTGATAAGGTTGTCTTAAGAAATTTTCAACAAGGGCCAACGTGAAGGAATTGCTACTTAAAGTTCAATTAAACAGGTTACCCATTCCTCACCCTCTAGTTAATTAAGGCTTTTTACTGTACTTTAATGAACCCTCAAAGTTTACCTAAATTCCAGTCTTCAAGCCCAATTGTTTCACCTTCCCCTACTTTTTTTGAATGCCAAAATCAGGAAACCTTTGAAACTGCAAAATACATGCTTTCTAAGAGCGCACAGCAAGCTTTCCTGTAGGGGGAAAATGGCTATTACCACTAAGGGTCAGTTAACACTGTATTTTATGTATACGCTCAATCAGACAAAAGCACCTTCCAAACTTCACCTCAAACACACCCTCAAGTAAGAAGTTGTCTTCAAATTACTCATTTAAACACTCGTGTAACTGTCTATCAAAGATCAAATATAGGTCAAAATCATATCTAACAAAAACTACATAGTATTTAAAAGTCACAAATAACACTATTTAAATACCCGATTCTTGTAATTATTTAAAAAATTGTAAAAGCAATATAGTTAAGTCTCTAATGGAATACCTGAGCCAAGCGGTGTCCTTTTCACTCACCAAAATGTTACTTGGTAGCAAGTGTCCAATGAAAATTCTCCCTTAAGCACCAACTGGTTAACAATGTATCAAAGAACACATTCATTTCCCCATAAATTTATCTTGGTGTATCTATATAAAAATACTTGTAACAAAGTCTTAAAAGTACCCTTGAGTATCAGCAAGCACTGTCAATCCTTCTAGCAAGTACGTGTTCATGGAAACCAGGCCTGTTCTGATCAGAGAATCTTTAAGGTCTTTTAGCAGCTTAGCAAGACTGAGCCTGGATCATCAAAATCACAGTTAATTGAGAACTTATACTTTATACATAAGAGTGCAGAATGCAAATAATTAAAACAATATTAGCAACTTTAAAACTTGTTTAGAAACAACTTGCTTCTCTTAAACAACCATAAGCCATTTCTCTGTTCAGAACTCATGTTTGCACCAGCTCTGACCGGTTCCTTGAGGAATGTGGCCAGGCTGAAATTTTGGCAGTGTTGGCTTTGGTGGTGACCAAGGAGGAAGCAGTCTCTGGCCTCCCTGTTGCTGAAGTTCCCACCCTGCAAAATGAATATACCCACCGGTGTGAATTGACAATGTGGTCCAAAGAGCAAGGCAGGAACGGAGTCCAGATCCTCAAAATGGCAGTACAGGGCATAACCACTAGGCCACCTATCAGTTCAGTACAAAAAGTACAACCCTGTGCATCATGGTGCAAAAGCGGGGGCCTAGGTTTCGCATTGTGCATCTCACACCTATGGAAATAACAAGAGGAGTAAAATCTATAGAAATCAACACACCCCAAGAAGGCGGGTGCTCACAGAAGACCGGTGTCAACACTTTTGCAAAGCTGGCTGGCTAGTGAGCTAATGAATGGCAGTTACAAGTCCAAAGTTGGAAGGAAACAACATTTTACAATCAACTGTTGAGTTTGACAATAAAGAACTCAACATGGGCCTAATGTTTACCAACAAGGCTTTGCAAATCATGACACCCATCTACAAGCTTATGAAAACGACTACCCCACTAAAATCTAACACCCCTCAAGAAGGATTATTAACTCTCAAAGAGTTGGAAAGATTTGGGCCATGAAGAAGGGAGGTAATCAGCAATTCCCCAATCAGTTACTCTCAAGGTCTTAAACTTTCTCCCTTACCATCTGACCTTGGAAAGATATGGTGACACGTTCAAAGCTTAAGGCGGAAGAATTCCAGAGAAGGGGAAATCTGCGCACCAAGGATGTGCCAAGGTGATGCCTCGGGAGCAAATGTGGATTGTCTGAGGGTCAACAGTTTGGAAAAAGAGAACTTCCAAAACGCAGGGGGGATTCTTCAAAAGAAGTAAAATCCCTGCTCTTGACTCACAAGCCTTCGCCATGTTGCTGTCAGCTCACCCACTAAGAGTGCGAGTGCCTCGCTGGGTCCCTTCCCGTGGTCTGTAGAAGGCGCTGTGCAGCACATCCTGCCCTAGCTCCGGCCCTTCCCCCTTCTGCAGCCTTACCCAGCGCAGGGAACGCGCCCCCTACTGACTCCGACGCTCATCGCCTTTAGCCGACTTGGCTGCGGTGCATTTTGGGTGGGGGCTGGTATTTTCTTCATGGCCATAAACCAGAAGCAACAATGCAGGTTTATAAAGAAACTGTACCAAGCTACCCAGGAGGGTTTTTTTTTTCGTTTTGAAGGTGCACTGGAGGCAGGAGAAGCATCAGGGATAGAGCTGGGCGTGTGGGGATGGACACATTAAAATGGCAAACACAGGAAACAGTTGGGTTCTTTTCCCCTCCTGGCCTTTGTCTGGGAAACGGGGCTGTGGCAAGGACCGTCCAGGGGAAGTGGCGGATGCAAGAGCATCAAGAAGACCTAGCGCGGGTGTGCGTGCGGCTGAAAAGGCTGGGAGACCTCAGCGCCCGTCTGGGGCAGAAGAGGAAGAGCGGCGATCGCGCCTTTTCCAGCAGACGGGCATCCAGGGGGGGAGGGGCGGGCGGCCCGGAGAGAGGCGGCGATCAAAAGGTGCTCGAGCAACTGCTCCCCAGCTATTGCATTAACAAAACCCTCGCGCAGCGGTCTGGGCTGCCGTCCTCCCCAGCTCACTGCAAAGTTGGGGCTCAGATGCTCGTGGGAGGCCGTGCAGACCGGGCAGTGCGACTGCAGCCGGGGTGGCGGGCGCCGCGGCCAGGAGGAGGGAGCTGCACGCCGGGGAGGAGGGCTGCACCCGGGAAGCGAAGACTTTCCCTCGGCGCCCCGCACGCTCCCGCCCCCGCCGCCCCCTCCCCGGCAGGGCGGCAGACCCGGCAGCAGGCTGGTCGCGGGGGCTCCTTTCCGGGGGCAGGAGCAGAGAGCAGCCCCAGGGACGGGATGGGGCAGCGCGGCTCCCGCGGCGGGCGGGGTGGACGGAGATGCCGTCCGCGGGCAGGCTCGGGCGGCCGGGCCGACGGCGGCCCGCGGGGCGGGGACGGGGGTCGGGCTGCAGGAGGAGGCGCCTGGTCCCCGGGCCGGGTAGCGGTCCGCGCCGTCACCGGAGTATGCAAAGGAGCGCGCGGCCGGAGGGCCGGCGGCGGCAACAATGCGCCGGGCGGGCGGGCGGCGCGGCGGCCGCGGGCTTACCTTGACTCGGCCTCGAGGCGCGCGCGGGGCCGGCGTGCTCGGGGGCCGGGCGGCGGCGGCGGCGGCGGCGGCGGCGGCGGGGCGGCGGCGGCGCGGCGGCGGCACGGCGCTGGCGGCGGCGAGGGCGCGCCCGGGCCTCGGCGGGCTCCGGCTCGCGCCGCGGCCGCGGCTGCTGCCGGGGGGCGCGGCGGGCGCAGCGCAGCGGCGGGCGGCGGCGCGAGCGGCTCCCTCCAGTGCCCGCGCGGGCGGCGGCGGCGGCGGCGTCGAGCGGTGCAGACAAAGGAGGGGCGGAGGGAGGAGACGGAGGGTGTGGGAGCGGCGGCTTCACCGGGCGGGCGGGCGGCGGCGGCGGCGGCCGCGCTCCTCTCGCTCCTCAGCAGCGGGGACCGAGAGAGGGAGCTGTGTCTGAGGAGACGCCAAAATCCCCCTTAGCGCTGCCCGCGGGAGGGGGAGGGGCACAAGATGGCGGCGGCCGGGGGGCGGGAGTTCAGCTCATGGATCCCGGCGGGCGGCGGAGGGGAGACCGGGCCGGCGGAGGCGGCGGCGGCAACGGGCGGGGGAGGGGGCCGATCCCGCGTCTCCCCTCGGCAGACAATACAAGCGCCTCGGAGCGAGTCCCCGAACCTGCCCTAGCCAAAATGGCGGCCGAGAAAGAGCGGAAGTGACGTAAGTACCTCATTAGCATAAGAGGACTCATTGTCCAGCTAAGTAGGGGGGGCGGCGGGGGACGGTATCCCTTCCCCCCCTGTCCTCCAGGGACAACTCTCTTACTCCCACCTGTGCCTGCACCTAACTTTTCCTGAGGGAGGGTGGCACCAGCACCCCCGCCCCCGCCTGGGGGAAATTATATAATCCCCACTGAGGGGGAGCTCTCGCGAGAACCAAGCGGATTTGCCATTGACCCACTAGGAGGCGCCGCGGATAATGGCCGCAGTGCGCTTCCAGGGCCCGTGTGCACGGCGGGCGCCTTCCTCTGGCCGCAGCGCCGGCGGCGGAGGCACAAGCAGCGGGCCGCAGCACGCCCTGCACTCAGTCAGGTGGCCGTGCCGGGGATCCCTGCGCGGCCCCGCTGCGCCTGGACTACATCTGGCGGGAGGGGCGTGAGGGCCGCCCGCGGCTCCACGTGCTGCAGGCCCGTTCGCGCGCCGGCGGCGGAAGGGCAGGACACCTGGCCTGCCGGGCCGACACCTCCTGCTTCGGACGAGGTGTGAGGGCCTCGTGCTTCACACAGCGCCGGAGATGAGGCACGGCCCCACGGAGGCGACCCTTCCCGGAGGCTGGGTCACGCGGCGGACAGGGGCTGCCGCGCCGGGCCGGACAGTCTTCCAAGTCAGCGATGGGCTCTTCTCTTGGGCCTGAAGAGAATGGGATCTCTAGCGTTTGAGGCCACCGGACTGGTGAAACCTGAGGAGGAGATGTGCTGCGGCCAATGGGCCTCCACGCTTGGGCTGCAGTCCCAGGACAGTCGCCTGCAATGCTCCCGCGGTCGGGACAGCAGAAGACAGCACGTGGGCAGTCCGCCTTTGTAAATTTAGGTCAACCCCAACGACACAATATCTCCTCCACATTCTGAACCCACCTCTCTAGCACAGCGCATCTGCGAGTCTCTCATCGGCTACGCAAACTGCAAAGTAATAAATGCCAACTGTGAAGGATCAAGCAAGCCCGTGTTAAGATGTGCTCATTTTGTAAATACACTTATCTTGTGCTGTTTCTCTACATTTCAAGTTACAACAGTTTCAAACCATACTTGACATGCCAAGAGGATCTGACTTAATTGAAAATAGCACAAATTGTGCTTACATACAGCTCAACGTCTAAGACGTCAGTTAGTAGGTTTAACAAGCTGTTTCATCCAACATAGTATTCCTTTAATTTCTGAAATTGCGATAAAATTTATCTTTAAAAGCCAAATCAGTATTTCAAGGGCATACAACTGGAAAAAGTTGCAAAAAAAGGGGGGGGGGGGGCAAAGCATTTGATTCCGAGAAACAAAGGTGAAGAATCTAATTACATGCTGCAGAAGATGGGCAAAAGCTCATATGAAATAAGCAAAGTAAGTTTAATTTCCCTTAGATATAGTTAGATTTCATACAGTGATAATACAAATACAAAGGGAGAACATCTGGATTTCATCCTTGGCCTCATTTACAAAGTAAAAAGGGATGTTAGATTCACATGTAAATGTTTAAAAAGATTTTACAGTGTTTAAGTCACCAGATTTACTACAAAAATGCATCTAAATAGTCCAGATTCTTTTCTAAATAACTTCCAAATGGTGAAAGTCTTCACTGCTCAAATACATTGTTTACTGTAAATTCCAATAGTGACAGTGTTGTAATGATTGTGGGAATAAGAAACAAACAGATTAAAAAGGCAAAAGGTGTCTACTCTAGTGAGGTCTGAGAAGGCAACACCTTAGAGTGGGCTCTCTGAGATAGTCACTTCATTTCGTCCCACATCCTCCACAATGAAAACTTAACTTCGTTCCACATCCTCCACAATGAAAACTTAATTTTGGGTTTATAGGAAGAATAGATTCTAAACACTCAAAAAAAAGTATTACATTACTATTATGTTAACTTAAAACTAATTTTACATCAAACAGTGATGAATTTTCTAGCTGTATTAATGATGAGAGAGGTCACTTCCCCAAGAAAGGCAGGTCCCTGGTGCGCCAGCTGCACAGCTCTGTGAAAAAGGGAAATAAAATAGTAGAGGCCCTTATTGGAATGTGTCCTATGAATTCCTCTATGGGACTAGGTAACGTTCGAAATGACACCAAAGGTTTTATACTCTGGTATTCATTTCTGGTAGGATCTGTTAGAAATGCAATTGGAAAAAGCAGACTTTAAATTTCTTTAGCAGCCAAATTAAGCCAGGAAAATACAGCAATTAGCAATACTGTCCACTAAATATGCTTATTAAATAATTAGCAATGCCTCTTCCTTTTACTTGTAAAGGCAAGTCAACTTGATCTTAAGCTTATTTGCTCAGAGTATGTCTTACCCAAAATTTTAAAAGATATTGCATGATCCAAAAGCTATGTATGCTACAGGTAGAAATGGATCTTTCTGGAACTACCTCCTTTCGAGAAAGCAGGTAAACAGAATACTTGCGTTGGCTTTATTGAGCAACTTAACCTGCATTTTAACTGGCAGAACACTTTTCTGAACAGAGAGAAGTGCTACATAGGGAAGGGATTGTTGTTATATTAGTAAAGATGTATACTTTCTTGAGGATCCTGAAATAATAGGAAAACAAATATTCTGAGGAAATCTTTATATAGTAAGATGTTTAAAAATTACTATAGCAGCTAAGTTTATGCCTCAATGTCATCAATATTTTTCCTTACTGATAGAAGTTATTGCTCAGAAAAGAAAAAAATGGCTAACCAATCAACCTGTCAAGTTGTTTCCATGTCACAATATGCATTTCAAATAGACCTGCTATGACGGATGAAATGCTTCATCACTTCAACAGCTACAAAGAACCAAACTCTAAAATTGTGCTCTAAATGTATTGTTTTATCTGGTTTAAGATATTTGATACATTTTTAAAGAAAGAGCAGAGGTGTGTTCCTTTTTCAATTCATACAGAAACAGCCATATATATTTCATGAATATAATTAGCATTCCTTTTACTTCTTACATCTATTAGGTACAAAGATCTATGAATCCAGTTTTTATAACGAATATTTCAAAATCTTCCCCATGTAAGAAATTCCACATTCACATCTTCTAATGAAAGCAGCAATATTTTATACAAAATACCCACATACATTTATTTACAGGTCTTAATACAGCAAAATGTAAACGAAAATTGAGAACACTGCTCATTCTTCTAATTTAATTTGACATAAAATGGAGTTTCTTCAGAAAAAAGATTTGCACGAAATTTACCTTACCTTATGATTTATGCTCTAAGAGTACATTTTACAAATACAGCAACCAGGCTTCTTTTATGTTTAAATTGAAATGAACATGATAAGCATAAATAACTTTCTTTTATGTAGTAGCAAAAAGAGTCAATAATCCTTTCAAGAAAGAGACTATTTCATTTCCTCCCAACTTGGATTCACCATAAACACGATCCACAAATGATATTGGAACCTAGTTAAAAAAATATACAGTAAGTCAGTCTTCAAAAATATTAGGAAGCATAGCAGGCATACAACAATGACTAATACAACAGAAACAGACTAAGCCCATGATAGCAAGTCCCTCAAGTGAGTTCAGAACTCGGGGATTCTTTACAGCAACTGTCCTCACCTTCAAGTCTCTAAAATTAAACATGCATTTTATTATCTAAAAACAGATCCTATGAACCAAATCTACAACTGTTTGAAAAGCACTGATCCTGAATATTAAGTTGGTTTACTCAAGTTTCACACTGCATTTCAAGGAAAAATTATACTCCAAAAGAAAAATGGCCTTTCACTTAATTTTTTCAGCAGTCCATCAAATTTAGCTGTCATTAAGTTAAAGAGCTGTTAATTTCCACAAGAGAAGGGGCATTCTAATTAGCTATTTTCCTGCTCTAAAAAGAGTATTATAGGAGGAGGGTCTTCCCTAGGAGTTCACTAGCTAGCTGTAAACATTGCAGACTGCACCCCCCACCCATAATTCCTGTCTTGTCCATTTACTCATAGGAAATGGACAAATGGGATTCATCATTCACTTTAAAGTAGGGTGGCTGTTGGCTATCACAAGAGAAAAAAAGCAGCAAATAGACTCATCCCGTAATGCTCAGTGGTCAGAAGGACAAGGATGGAGAAGGTACCAGTAACTTTTAATTATTTAAAAGGGAATGCTGCCTTGTGTTAATGCTTTAAATCTTGGTAGGTCAAACGTATAAATTTGAAAGGGATGTGAATTTTCACCCTTTAGTGCATGGACATTCTAAACAACTGGAAGCCTTCCACATTTATTCAGTAGTTATCAAAGTTCAACTTTTTATTATAAAAAGTCTAATTGTTTAGTTTCTTTATGAGGACTAGAACATACTGTTTACCATCAGTTGCATACCTCGCCAATAGTATAATTCAACTGTCTTGCCCGAATAATCATCTCCATCTGGAAGACGTAGCCTTTAGAAACACATTTTTCTATTAATTTCTGTAGAACTTCTTTTCGGTACAACCTGTAAGAAATTAAGATATATGTGAGCACTTGGATAAATATACTTGCCTATATGTATCCTTCCCTTTCAAAAAGCTCACTGGTATTTACAAAACCTAAAATTTTCACTGGCCATTTGTATATCGAGAAGTTGTTACAGTTGATGATTATGATACATTTGTCCTGAACCAGAAAGGTCATGAAATATTTGGTAAATAAGAATAATTTTGAAAATGAATTCTCAATATCTTTTAGAGAATTATTTTCCTACCATACTATTAGAAATTATATTGGGGCCGGCCCCGTGGCCGAGTGGTTAAGTTCACGCACTCAGCTGCAGCGGCCCGGAGTTTCACCGGTTCAGATCCTGGGCACAGACATGGCACCGCTCGTCAGGCTACGCTGAGGCGGAGTCCCACGTACCACAACTAGAAGGACCTGTAACTAAGATATACAATTATGTATGGGGGGTTTGGGGAGACAAAGCAGGAAAAAAAAAAAAAAAGAAGATTGGCAACAGTTGTTAGCTCACGTGCCAATCTTTAAAAAAAAAAAAAATTATAAAAATATGGTAAAGTGAATAGTTTGAAGAACTACCCACTGTTTTCAGTTTTTAAATTTTCTAAAATTTAAAGTTGGAGGAGAAACTGTTCCAAATACTGGAACAATTGAGTTGATGATAAAGCAACAATATAAATTAGATGACAAGAAAGAACCTAGTAATTAAGCATTTCCTCATAAATGTCTATGACGAGTTTCTATTTCTCGAGATCTGCTAAATAAATTCGAGGGGATAAACTAAGTCCCTTTGGGATGAGCTTGGTTAAGCTCGGTTAAGACGGAAACCAGGCATCACAGGACTGAGGCGATCCTGGGGGGATACAGCTATCACGAGGCAAGGTCACACTTAGACACTTAGCACGGGCGAATGCGCACTCTAACTGGAGATGGGCTGCAGGCCAAACCCGGAGCTCATCAGACTCAGGCAGAAAGAGTACGACAGAGGGGCTGGGAAGTTCTATGGGGGAACCCAATCACTCTCTTCAGGAGCTCCCTGTTTTCAGAGTTGCTGAGGTAAAAGAATCAAAAACCCCCCAAGTTTCCGTGAGTAGGGAGGGAGCAATTTCTAACTCTTTTTTGGCAGAGCAGAAAACTAGGAGAGGCAGTTGGGCATAACTTAGTTCTCTTTGCAGTTGGGGCCCTGGATCTACAATGCTGAGGGCTTTACCTGCAACCCACATTGTTTTCTCAGTTTTCCTGGAAGCCTGCCTTTTGGTTTGTCAAGCTTTCAAGTGAATATAAAACCAAAGAAAGCATAGTCCTGAGAGGAACCTGAAAGAGATCAGTGTATGCTCTCCTCTACCGACACAGCTTCTGTGAGAATTCAAAAGAATAAGTTTGGAATAAATCTGAAGTGAGAATGATGGTAGTAATATTTATTCAATAACAATTATTTATTGAGCAACCTACTGTGTTTCAGGCACCTTTTTCTGTGTTAGGGTTTTAGCAGCAGAAACTAACGATGTATCTCAAATGATGTTAA